CCTATGTTTTATTAAGCCAAGTTTCCCCTTAAGTTTGGTATTCAGCTTCTTATGAACACCGGCATTTTAACTTCTAAACAGGATTCAGTTTATTTTAATCCTTTGGCTTAAACATGAAAGTAACAATTTCTGCCTAAGTTTTACCGTATCTAAATTATCAAACGCCCAGAAAGTCATAAAATGGTCATAAAGCCCCTTATTTCAAATTAAACCCAAAGTCCCCCCTTCTTGACACATTTTATGTGTCAAATAAGCTAGAGACCAGCTACTGAAACTGAAAATGCTTCACCACATCTTAGGAAATTAAAAGAAAAAGGTTAGTCATATTATTTCTCTAAAAACCCTCAGCAATTCTCCTCTCGGGTATACTTCCTCCGGACCTCCAAACTTGTGTTCAGGAATAATGTATTGACACACTGAAACATTTAACTAATGTCATTTTCATTACTATGTCTTAATACATTCAATCTCTAATTCCTCTGTTTTCATGTTGCAACGTCACAAGCTCACAAGCTATATTCAGACTTGCTGGTTCACTTCCTGCTTCACTTCCTGCCAGACACACACTCCCACAGCCACTCACACACTCTTCACTGGATTTTCATCTGTTTCTACAGCCTAATCGAAATCTTGTATTTACAGTCTATAAACCCTCTGTAACTCTGCTAAGTGTTGATATAAAAAGAATGCACCCTCAGTACACGCACACACACACTTAAATATACTAAGCTCTTTGCATTTGCAAGCATTCACATCAGCATCAGCAGAGCTCTTTCAGACCTCAGATCACCACACAGATCACCATTCTTTAGCTCAGTTTTGTAGCATCATTCACACAATACTTTGATCAGCATTTTTGCACACTTCCCTGAACTTCCTTAAAAGCTAATTGTCTTACACACACACACACACACACACACACACACACACACACACACACACACCCTGTTCTCTCAAAACAATGTGCACCTTTAATCATTCATCCAAATAACTATTTTACACTTCATTTATACATTCACACATTTATATATATATATAACAAAAACTGCCACTGACTGCCAAGATAAATTATTTCCATTACCATATCACATCTTCACTTCATCTTCAAAACCTTAGTACTGGTACACCTAACTTTTCGACTAGCCTCTAAGCCTCTAAGCCCAGGTCTAACCTTGCTGGTCAATCAACCCTCTTCGGGTACGCCCTCACCGATAGTGGTCAAATTTCTTTGCCCTAATTAATTTATAAGTGGTCCCCGTGGGTTGGCCGGAAACCCCACTCCTAGGCGCTTCCAAATCCCGTCTGCGCCTGAAGCTTTACTTAAGGTTTACCTGTCAATCACGTTCAAACGGGACCACCCGACTCCAACTCTGTGGGTCAAACGGTGCAAGAAAAGTGGTGCTTGACCACTGATTATTAACGACTGTTCCTACCTGTCGCGGGTATCACCCGAAGTAAGCCTCTCGCCGGAGGAAATTGCTGCGCATCCACCAAAAGATGGAGTCATAACACTCAGAACATTTTGCACCCCTAGAAGTCCAACTTCCGTCCTAAAGTATTAAATACATTTAAAAGCACCACTGTGGGGATTCCACAGTTAAATTATCTGGTGCCCGAGTCCAACTCTACTAATCAATGCAGGGATAAATCCCTTAACCAAATATCCTAACCTAATCTCTCTCTTCTTTTTTTTTAGTGACGTAACACACACTCACATAACACACCAACTTCAAACATACGTCACAACAACTTTGAACTTCACCCCAGGATTAATCACAATAAATTTTGTCAAATATCCCCAAACTTTACTTTTATTTATCCCAGATTACCCAAAATTATCATGGACATGTCATCTGAAATCTACTTAACAGATTTTATAATTTAGTTTAATTTCACCACTACTGAGCCAATTTAACAGTGACGATCATCAACTCGGCGGACAAATAATTTAGAATTCATCAATATGCACAAATTTGCTTCGAACAGGCTTGTGCCTACCTTTAAATCTTTTAGACCGGTCTGTTGTCCGCCTCATATCAGATCGTACCTTAAGCTCCAAATTGGGGCTCAGCCGCAAAAAACTAGAGATGGACCCGATACTGACGTAAATTACTGGATCGGATATTGGAGAGAAATAAAAAAAAATGTAATCCGATCCATTAAATATCAAAAAAGCACCTCACAAAACTTGCGACATGGCGTAACTCGGCTCATAACCGTAGCACGTCGGAGCAGT